GCATGGATGCCAGAAAGGTCACGCACGGCGCTATGCTGCCCGGCCACAAAACACTGCGAATATGGGCATAAAATGGTCTCTGGCAGCCTGGCAAGTGCACGACACCCCACGCCTGTCAGCAAAATTGAGCTCCTACAACCCCCTCAAAACCGCGCGGTTACACCAGGCTGGAGGGAAGAACCAGTAAGCTAACCCCTAATTCCTGAACCCAAACCCTACCCTAATCCCTTATCCCCTACTAAGCCCCAGTAAGATGTGCGTTGTTTCAATAAGAACCCAGTTGCCTGGGCCCTTTGCGGTCAGGCTGGCCTGAGCGGCGCTTCTTAGGTTTTAATCCCCCACGTGTTTTTTTTCGGGTTCAGGATTTAGGGTGAGGGCTGTAGGGTTTTAGGGTTTAGGGTTTGATGTTTAGGGTTTAGGGCTCAGGGTCAAAGGGCTCAAAAGGTGGGATGAAGGAAGGTGGAGTTTAGGAAATAAGCCTCCATGTAATAGAGTATATACTAAGGATCCTTTAACCCACCCACCTTCATCCCACCTTTTCAGCCCCCCTGATTCATCCACTTCCTTTCTGGGCCCGTAGCTCTCCTACGAAACAGCTATGCCATATAGGGTTTAGGGTTTAGGGGTTTAGGATACATGTCTTTGAGGGAATGTTGGTGGTGATGCTGTCAGAGGAAGGAATTCCTGGCTTTAGGGTTAATAAGAGCTCAGGGACTTGGTTTTAAAGGGCTTTTCGGGTTTCCAACTTCAAGCGGTTTTGGGGGCTTTAGGGCTTTAGGTTTCGGCCTCTAAGGGTTTTTAGTACTCTTTTTCTAGGGTTTGTGGCTCAGCCTTCTTCACTCCTACGAGGCTCATGCATAGTTCAGATATCCTCGATTGTGCAAAGGAGATTCAGAAGGATACATAGGGATCTTACGCACAGATTTTCACGGGCTGCCATATGCTGACCGCGACTGCCTTACTTTAGCTTGATGTTGAGATCTCCTCAACCCCGTACTTACGCTGGTTTCGCGCATAAGCAAGCCACTTTTTTGAGATTTGCGATTTCGGATCCGGTTCGTACAAAACTTTCCGAGTTGGGTGCTGATCCCTGTAACTGGTTCCAGATTGGGCTACCATTGAAACTTAAGGTCGTGCATTCATCAGTAGGTAACTGCCCCAAACGTGACTCTCCCGTGGAGCCTTCTACTGGTGTCTATCTTCACTCTCGCGCTCTCTCGCGCACCAGTGCTTCAGTCTTGTGTAGACCAACTCAGTGGGTGAGGAAGGTGTCAGTGGCCGTATCAGGATTCATTGCATCTCTTACACTAAGGGTCCAAGTACCCATCTAGCGGATAGTTTGAATTTAAAGCACTGGTACAGAAACCCCGACTGGACCCAAATTATGTGCTCAGGTGCTCGGACCCTCAACTCTAGACCATACTGTTTAGGGATAAGCTAGGATTCAAAAGGACTTCAATGACTGAGGACGCCAAACGGGGAAGTCCAGGAATGTAGCATGAATATGATGAGAATATAAAACCCTGGTAGGTGTCTTCCAATCATATTCCTTGTTAGGGGTTCCTTGTTAGGGGTCCCCAGCAGAGTCCTCTTACGGATTGTGTAGGAGTTGGTGTTGCTTCTTTGCTTGCATCAGGCTTCCAAGGTTTTGTGGGTTGGGGCCTTGTGGGCTTTTGCTGCGGAACTTCAAAATCTGTCTTTGGGGTGGTTTTCCATATCGGGAGGCCCAATGTAGACAACCAATTCAGGATTATAGCTTATTTGGTCTATGTTGGGGCCGCTTCTTCATGGAAGTGGCACGTGAACCAGCCTTTTCGCATATGCCCCATAACTGCAAGTACTTGAGCTACAGGCATACAATCACTGTGGGAATACATGTCGCACCCCTAAAGCACCTCAATGCAATCCCACTTACCTCCTCCAATTTCTCCCTGGAGATACATGTGTCACAACCCTAAACCCTCAACCCTGAATACTTGACTTTGACGGTAAACCCTAAGCCGAGTCGCGTTGTGCTTGGCCTTCCAGTCACCCTTCTTTGCCCAGCTCTTGCCCTTTGCCTGCAGCTGCACGGTCTTTTCTTACTGCCTGTTGTGATATTTATTGCTACTATACCACTACTAGTACTACGGTATTCGTACTACACCATTACTATTGCTGTTACGATTATGGGTTGAGTGAGCTGGGAATGAAGGAATGGAAAAGAACATGGAAGCTACTATGTTCTTGGTGATCATACAGGGGCTGCTGTAGAGATCCATTCTTCCCTTCCTTACTGACTCCGCAGCTTCAAGGCTTACTAGATAGCCGTCCATACAGCCCGAGGTAGGTATTATGTATGGACCCTAAACCCTAAACCCCAAATCCGTAAACCCTAAATCCCTAAACCCTAAACCCTAAACAGCCCGAAGTCGACCTGCTTTGTAAACTTGGATCCTTTGGGTTCAGGTTTTCGGCTGATCGTTTTTGCAGTAAGGCGTAGGGCTCAGGCTTGCTGTGAGGTTCTGGGTCTAGGGTCTAGCTAGGGCTTAGGGAACTCAACCCCTAAAACCCTAACTCCTAAACTGCAAAGTTCGAGATGTATCTGTCTTAGGCAAGGTCTGGCGGTCCTCGACAAGAATATATAAACCCTATATAACCCCTATATAATCCCTACAGTATATACTCCCCATTAAGCCTGTATACACCCAAAATAGCCCCTATGTGAACCCTTCTATAACCCTACATAAACCCTCTATATATAACCCCTATACAATCCCGAACTCTCCCTTGTATCAGAACGGTCTGCTCTTCTTATGGCGGAAGGGGACAAGGGAGCTTCAAGCCAGGAATCTGAACGGTAGACAAAGGCAGAGTTCAGAGTTTAGGGCTTGGGGTTTAGGGTATCTCATAGTGCAATTCCGGTTAGAGGGCAACCCTAAACCAAAGAACTTAAACCATAAACTCCATTTTGACCCTGGCCACTTGAACAATGTGCTCTTGCCCCCACAGGCTGCATACATCCACCCTTTGGTAACAGGGTTTGAGATTTCAGGGTAAGCTAGTTAACTGTTTGGGTAACCCTAGACCCCAAACCGCTTCAAGGATCACTGGGTCACTTAGATTTTCTGACTGTCTCAAAAAATGCCCAGGAGCCTTGACCCTGACTGGGCTGCTGATAAGTCCAGGAACTTAAGCTACGTTACATATTATGGGTATACAGTAAATAATCCGGTCTCCTTCTTCTATAGTAACTTGATGTAAGTTCCTTAACGGCAACCCAGCTGAATCCCAAACCCATCCTAAATCCAACGCCCAGCAACTCTGACAACTGAGCTACACTCTGATGTCAAAACCCTAAACGTTAAACTGAAAATCCCACTGTATCCTGATACACCCCGGTAGAACCCCCGTAACCCCTCTAAAGGAGCTTCAGCCCTAAACCCTAAACCCTAAACATAGATCCCTAAACCCTATGCCCTAAACCCTATACCCTAAACCCTAAATTCTATAGACCCTGAACCTCATACCCTAAACCCCAAATTCTAGATCCTAAACCCTACACCCTAAACCCTGAATTCTAGACCCTACATCCTACACCCTAAACCACGCTGAAAAGTGTCCAGGAAGCCTGCCTTCCAAACACCTGCCTTGTGTGCGTGCCGCTTGGCCTGCCGGAGCAGGATTCTAGGGTTATATGGTGGTAGTATAAGGATACTTCAGGGACATAAGGGTTATATGGGGATGATGGAAAAGAACATGGAAACGACTATAATGGGTTGGGTTTAGGGTTTAGGGTCTAAACCCTAAACCCTAAAGGTTTAGGGTGTCGATTTTAGTCCCGCCTGATGCTGTCCCTTGTGCTGACCCTCGGTGCCGAGCTGGAGAGCGCAGTGGCCGTCCTCAAGCAATGCAGGGGCCTAAGGGATCCAAAGGGGCTTTAGGGTTTCTGGGTTTAGGGTTTAAGGTTTAGGGATCAGGTGTATGGCTTAGGGTTTAGGTTTTAGGTTAGGGTGTCCTGGAAGAACCCAAAGAGCTCTCGCAAAGGGGCCCTAATAGATTTCCCGGGATCCCAAACCCGAAATCCTAATCCCCATAGGGATAATGGAAAAGAAAATGGAAGCTAGGAATTATTTAGGGTTTAGGGTTTAGGGGGCTAATAGGTCGTGTTACAGGCGGGTTACACAAGCGTTATAGGTAGTATCATAAAGGGAGTCTATAGGGAATAGCAGCTTGAACAACGCGTCCTGGATCCTGGGACCGGGAAGGTGGGGTTTATATAACCCCTGTATACTACAGTAGTTTCCATTTTCTTTTCCATTATCCCTTTATACCCTAAACCCTACAAACAATCCTCATGAGCCCCCCTGCAATGACTGCAGCCCTACCTATTACATAACCTTATTAGGGTTTAGGGTTTGGGGTTTAGCGATTCATGTACTTCCTGACTCTTCCTTAAGTACCAGAAAGGGATTCTAGCGGTTGAGGGCTAGGGAGCCTCTAGAGTCTTGGGCTGAGGCACCTAAGCTTCAAACTTATGAAAAGGTCAGGTGCTCTAGGTCTGTAGGCTTTGTCGGGATTTGGCATGTCTTGCTCTTGGGGGTCGGAGGTTATCTTGAAACACAGGTGTAGGCTTTAGGGCGTAGGGCTTCGGGTTTAAGACCTAAATCCTAAATTCAGAAGGCGACGCGTAGATGGGCAGGGGATAGCCAACTTGATCGTCAATCTGGTTACACAGCTTTACAGGTAACCTGAATCCCTACCAGCAGCTAAGCCCCAAGCCCTCCTCAACCCCAAGCCCCAAACCCTAAACCCCCAAATCCTAAACCCTAAGCCCTTCCAATTTCTTTTTAAGGGAACCCCTCAAACGCAGCTCGAGGGTCATGGTCCACCTCATGCGCCAGGACCCCCGCTGCGAGCAAGGCGGGAAGGACGCAAAGCAGGGTTCTCCTGGGAGGTTTAGGATTTAGGGATTAGGGTTTAGGGCTTAGGATGCAGGACTTAGGGTTTAGGGTTTATAGGATTTAAGGTTTCGTTTTAGGGCTTACTGTTTGTATTAGTGTACAAAGGAATCAGGGTTCTCCTGGCTGGTAGGGTATACGGTTTTCTTGGGCTTCGGTTCTTTGTGTGCTTTTTAAGGTTTCTAGGTTCAGGGTTTAGGGGCTCAGGGTCGAAGGACGTAGCATGAACTGCACAGTTGTAGAGTTAGGATTAGGTTTACGGTTTAGGGTTTAGGGATTGATAGTCCCCCTTAAGTAGACAGAATATGGGGTATATGGGGATCTTATCATAACATTCCCAAGACCATATTTTATGTACTTGAGGGGGACTATAGGGTTTAGGGGAGAGGTCAAGGACTGTGGGGCCTACTACAATACTCGTGGTTTAGGATTTAAGGGTTGTAGGGGTTGTATAGGGCACCCCAAGCCCCTTATCCTATGTATAGGGTTTAGGGTTCTGGATGTAGATGATAACCATGGTCGAGTCTAGGATTTACTAGTCTGTGCACACGGATCCTAGATGTAAGGATCTGGGAGTAGCCCTGGAACAGTATTTGGTATCTTGAGAAGCCACTTCCAAACCTCCAAAGAAGCCGGCACCCTGACACAATTGCAGTATGTAGTTCTTGACTGGTACGGAAGTTGCATGATCCCTAATCCCTTAACCCTAAACTCGAAATCCTCAACCCCTGAACCGTAAACCCCTAAACCGTAAAACTTTGAATGACCATCCCAGGCGCATCATGGCTAAGATAGGGCACGGTATTCGTGACTATTTGGTTCGGTGTGCTGCTTTGAGCCGAAGGCTGCCGAGACCAGATGCTAGGGGGTTTAGGGCTCAGGGGTTATATAGGGACAACGGAAACAAAATGGAGACTACTAGGTCATGATAGGGCATATATTGGGGTTAGGGTGTAGGGTACAGGGTATGATTAGGGCTGGGGGTTTTGGGATTATGGTTTAGGGCTTAGCGCTTAACATGACCATGATTGTTCCATTGAACAGTGGTGGCTCCAAAGAGGGAGCCCTCCGCAGTGAAACACGCACACATGACCGGAATTCTGTGTAAAAATTGAGGGATGATTTGGGGCGTCTCCGCATGACCAGGATTGGGCTTAGTTTTCGAGAACAACATGTACATTCCATACAACTCCTGCGCCTTAAGAATAATTTCTGCAACAACAGTACATTCCACACAATCTATGTGCCTGAAGAAGGAATATCTAACTTTACAGCCTGTCTAAAGGGACCCTAAGCCCTAAACCAAAGTTCGCATGCGCGCAGGAATTGCAAGCCTCTGCTTCGCCGCGGCCGCAGACGCAGGCCTGGCAGGAAAGCTTAGATTTCCTCTCTGTTAAGGGAATTTTCAGGTGGGTAGTTATGGAAAAGCTAGGACTATATAAGGGCTACGTAAGTCTTATATGGGCAAAACTACCCACTGTAAACTTCCTTAGATATCTGGGGGCCAATAAAAGAACATAAGTAAGCGCAAATATTTAGATAGATAGGTTGATAGACAGATAGGTCGATTGATGGATTGACTGATAGATTGCTTGGTTGATAGATATAGATAGGTATATGTATATGTATATGTATATCTATATATATATCTCTGAACCATAGTCTAAACTCCTTTATGGGGGACTATATAGGGGACTACTATAGGGGTTATTAAGGGGATACTAGGAGTTTAGACAGTAGCTCATATATGTATGCATATGTAAAGGGATATCACACCTCAGTCCCCTTTTAAGGACAGCACCTCAAGGTTTGGCTGAGATTCTTCTCGTTCCTCACATACGGTAGTTGATCAACATGCCTGCCCCAAAAGTGGCCATTATGGAAACTAGCTTTCCTCATATTTCCTCTTATAACCTACAGGATTCTTAGATAAGTTGCCAGCACCTTTAGATCAACATTAGCTACTCTTAGGGACTCTTCAAAAGGGCGTGCATGGATGTATAGGATTTAGGGGTTTAAATCTACCCTAAACCCAAGCCCTAAGGAATAAAGCTTCTTAAGAATGGGAGGCTCCTATTAGGGTTTAGGGCTTAGGGGATTGGAGTTCTAGTTCACAAATG